AGGGAGCCCGATGCGGGACTCGATCCAGGGACTCCAGGATCATGACCTGAGCCGAAGGCAGTCGCTTAACCAACTGAGCCACCCAGGCGCCCTGGGTCGTAGCCTTTCTTGAGCCCGTGGCCCTGGGAGGTTAGATGTCCTTCTGGCTCCCCATCATGGCACTTTCACGTATGCCTTCATTAGGCAAATATTTATGGAGGACCCACCATGTGCGTGCCAGGTACTGGGGAGACAGTGGTGAGTAAAGTCAGGCGGTCTCTGCCCTCCTGGAACTTCCAGTCCAGTCAGTCCAAGGATCACACAAATCAATGTCCAATCGCAGCCATGACAGGAAGGAATGCTTCTTGATTCTGCGTGCTCAGGGAGCTTAGGCCAGAGTAGATCTGGGCAGGGAAGGCTTCCTGGAGGGTGTGAACTTTGAGGCTGAGATCTGAAGTATGGGAAAGCATTAACAAGAGCAAGAAAGATCATTTCAGGCAACAGGACCAGCAGTTGCAAAGGCCCTGTGGTAGCAGGCAACGTAAGAAGGCAGGTGACGGGAGCATAATAAGTGAAGAGAGGCATGGCAGAGGCTGAGGCAGGAAAGGTGGGCTGGGGCCAGCCTGTGTGGACCTGACGGCAAGCATCTGGTCTTTAGCCTGACAACACTGGGCAGCCATCAGAGGATCACGCGATTGGCTTTGCACACTGAAAAGAACACTCGGGTGTTGGCATTATTTTTAAGATGAAAATTACCGCAAAGTGTTTGGGCTCTGCTGGGATAAATCCAGTCCTGAGGAAGAGTCAGAGATGAGAGTGACACAGAGACGCCCGGTGTTGGGAAAAGGATCTTGAGAGGACTGCACAGGCCAATTCAGGGAGAAGGAGAAGTGACGATGTAACCCAGGAGCACTGCACCTGAGCAAGCAGTGTGCCCACAGTGGCCAGAGGGGGACATGTCATTGGCTTTTTCGTGCAAGAGGTGTTGGTGGAGTCTGCTGCAGACGTGCAAGGCAAAAAAAATCGTATCAAGTGCAAAAGGCGAGTGAAGGAAAAACAAACCCATGGAGGATCCATGAGAAGAAGCAGAAGCCTTCCCGTGTTTTTGTCATTGCTATCACTACTTCGGGTGTCAGCCGCTGTTAACTGGTCAGCAGTTTGCAGGGGGTTTCGTTCCCGTCATTCAGGCTTCCAGCACCCAGCTACTGAGTCCCCACGCTGGCACAGGCTTGTGCCCCATACTGGGCGTGGGGTTGACTTTTAAGCGGATTCTGTGCGCCTGCCACTCAAGAGTTCACAGTCTATAGGAGATAAAGGGGAAAGAAGTAATTGCAGTAAAGGTGACAAATACTGAAGAAGTAGAAAAGGCCACTCTGGTTGGCGGGTGGAGGCAGGAGAGAGTGTGGCGTCGCTCATAGGGGTCTGGGCATGAGGTGATGGTGCAGGATTCAGGCGGGGCGGCGAGGCCAGGAGGTGGGGAGCTTTAGCGGGTGGAGCAATGGACTGTCCCGAAGGCTTGGTCAGATGGGAGTTTGCTTTCTCCTGCCTCCCCATGATCCCCCAGGGACAGGGCTGTGTCCTGCTCACCACCATCCCCCAGCACCCAGCTGGTGCTCTAGACCAGCATAAGCCATCTCAGCTAGAAAGGTCCCTTAGATATTGTTTGAGTCAAGCCTTTTCTCCCTCCAACCCCACAGGGGGGACACTGAGTCCCAGAGAGGATGCCTGCCTTGGGTTCCAAGAGCCCTGCCCCCATGCTCCAGCACTCACTTGGTCTCTCTCCACAGGGGTTACGGTCCATGTGTGCAATGAACACCGTTACGGGTACATGAACGTGCCTGTGAAATCCCACCAGGGGCTGGAGGATGAGAGGGTCAACTTCATCCACCTGATCTTGGAAGCACTAGGTGAGGGCTGGGAGCCACGTCACTAGCCTGCTGCCACGCTAGCCTCCCACCCCCTGTGCCCCTTCTCCCAGGCCCTGGACCTGACTGGGCAGTGGGCTTGGGGTCCCAGCCTCAACCTCTAACTTACTCCCTGACTCTGGGCAAGCCCTTTTCCCCACTGAGGCTCAGTGTCCCCATCTCTATGATGGAAGCAGGTGGATCCTATGATCTCTGACGGCCCTTCCTCCTGGGTGTTCCAAGGGGGCAAGGCGGGGGCGGGGCTGGGACTCCAGGGTCACTGCTGACAAGAATCCGTAGGGATTCATGATAGGGGGTACTTCCCTCTGCAGTGGACGGGCCCCCCATGTGGGCCTCAGCGCATGTGTCCCGGCCCCCAAAGAGACCCAGCAAGATGGGGTTTGATGAGGTAAGTTCCCTCAGCCTGCAGAATTGGGGTCAGGAAGTGGGTGGGCTCTCCCCTCCCGCTACACCCACCCCTCCCGCACCCACCTTCCCTGCCTCCTCTAGGTGTTTGTCATCAGCCTGGCCCGCCGGCCCGACCGCCGTGAGCGCATGCTAAGCTCGCTCTGGGAGATGGAGATTTCTGGGCGGGTGGTGGATGCTGTGGACGGCCGGTGAGGCTCCCCGGGGGCGGGGCCCTGGGCAGCTAGGGGAGCAGTGTGGCCCACTGGAGCCCCCTGGGATTGGGAAGAGCAGACAAATGAGTGGAATGAGTTTGCTGTTCCAGGAGGTTATCAAACAGGGCCTGAGTGATTCTGTCTTAGAGAGCCCCAGGGCAGACGGAAACAGGACCTACCGGAGGGAGGAGAGCACGGCGGTTAAGGCCCAGAATCTGGAGCCCCTAGGCTTGCGTTCCAGCTCTGCCACTTACCAGCTGGGTGACCTCTGGCAAGTCACCGCCACCTCCCAGCCCTGCTGTGTGAATGGCAGTTAATTGTGCCTTCCTCTTAGGACTTCTAAGGGCTCGGTGAGGACTTAGCCAGGGCCCGACACAGAGGAAGTATTCCAAAGGTTAGGTGTCTTTATTATTATCAGGCTTACTCTTCTCTGTCTTGGACTTAGGGTCCTGATGGGTGGGGGTGGGGGTGGGGGCCAGTCCTGTAGCCCTGGGGAACCAGAGGTCACATGGCTGTGCTTGCCCACAGCTCTTGGCCCCTTGTGCCCCCAGCCCTTTCAACAGCAGGATGTCCATCCTCTCCTCGGGCCTCTGCCCGAGAAGCAGATGCCGTGTCCCCCCATGTTCATTCTGGGGAGCATGCCCCTCAGGCTGCTTCCCATCTCCCCATGCTTCTATTCCCTCCCTCGAGGGTCACCCCGGCCTTAGGTGGCTCTGGTTCCCTGGGTTGTCACAACGTCTTCAGGCCACATGAAGCAGTAACGAGGTTGACACCTTTAAATTAAACTCCAGTGTGACTGCCCCCAGCAGCCACAGGCCAGGCACCCCTGGCCCCATGATACCCGTCTCCCTCAGGACACTCAACACCAGTATCATGAGGAGCCTCGGCGTGGACCTGCTCCCTGGCTACCAGGACCCCTACTCGGGCCGCACACTGACCAAGGGCGAGGTGGGCTGTTTCCTCAGCCACTACTCCATCTGGGAGGAGGTGAGGACGCCGCCCCCGCAGGGAGAGCTGTGGCGGGGGGGCACCCTATTCGCTGCTCTGTGCTCAGCGCCCAGGGGAACCAGTGGGTGAATGCATATACTGAGGAAGACCTGGCCGGCAGCTTTAAACCTCCTATGCATTCAACCCTGTGCCGTATTCATTCCGTAGTCTCTACGGAGCGCATCCTGTGTGCTGGGAGATCTGCTGCTGAAAATACAGAGGGGAACAAGGAAGAGGCCCCTCTTGCCCTTCCGGGGCTCAGGGACCAGGGTAGGGCACAGAAACTGGGAAGAAGCAAGCTAGCCGTGGAGGGGAGATGTACAGACTGTCCTGGAGTGTGGACTGGCCTGCATTCCTGGCCTGGTATGGGGCCGGGGTGGGCCTCACCACCGAGGGGCAGTGAGAAGAGCCTTCCAGACAGAGGAAAACGGTGGGGCAAAGGCTCTGAGGCAGACTGGATCTGTGTGTTCGGGGGGAAGAAGGAAGGCCTGGGGCTTGGCCCAGAAGCCTCAGCTCAGAGCTGGGGGGGGCAGGTGAGCGCCAATGAGAGGTCACTGCCTGGCCCCTGCAGGAGGGACCAGGGGACTGGTCCTCCAAGGGGCGGGCACCCCCTCCAAGAGGCAGCACCCAGACCCACTCCTTGTTTTTATTTTCTACCATAACCAAAATATAAGCACGTGAGCTTATATTTCTGTTTATCTTCTACTGTTCCTTTTTTTTTTTTAAGATTTTATTTATTTACTTGACAGACAGAGAGAGAGAGAGAGCATAAGCAGGCAGAGCTGTAGGCAGAGGGAGAGGGAGAAACAGGCTCCCGCTGAGCAGGCAGCCCGATGCGGGGCTCGATCCCAGGACCCCGGGATCATGACCTGAGCCGAAGGCAGACCCTTAACCGACTGAGCCAGCCAGGCGCCCCATCTTCTACGGTCCCTGAACAGATTGAAGGATGACTTCCATTTCACCGTTTACTAAGCTGATTTCACGTTCTTTTCACATTTCCAGAAGTTACAAAAATAACTTTCTCTAGGGGCGCCTGGGTGGCTCAGTCATTGAGCGTCTGCCTTCGGCTCGGGTCATGATCCCAGGGTCCTGGGATCGAGCCCCACATCGGGCTCCCTGCTCTGCGGGAAGCCTGCATCTCCCTCTTCCACTCCCCCTGCTTGTATTCCTTCTCTCACTGTGTCTCTCTCTGTCAAATAAACAAATAAAATCTTAAAAAAAAAAAAAAGTAACTTTCTCTTAGGGATCGTGGGGGCTGGGGTCTTCCCCCACCTCCAGCCAGCCCAGCTTCCTTGAGGACAGCTTAGGAGGCCAAGTGAGGAGCTGGGCCTGGAGTCCAGGACGGGGACATCGTGCGTCCTGCCTCCCGAGGGTCCCAGGGATATGGCTGCACTCAGTGAACACAGCAAAGGTTATGATTGCCATCAGAGTCTACTTGGAGAGCTGGACTGGGGGCCTGGAGGACCTTGACTGCCAGAGCCAGATGTTGGGACTTCAGTCCCCAGGCGGTGGGAGCCCCAGCAGGCTTTGGAACAGCTGAGTGACGTGGCCAGGGCTGAGCCTTTGCCATATAATGGAGGCCAGGGAGAGTCTGTCAGGCAGGTGGAAGGGGACCGCCTGAATCTAAAGAGCCTCCCCCCGTGTTGTGTGTCGCTTCCCCCACCCTGCCCCATTATTGCAGGTGGTTGCCAGGGGCCTGGCCCAGGTCCTGGTGTTTGAGGACGACGTGCGCTTTGAGAGCAACTTCAGGGGGCGACTGGAGCAGCTGATGGAGGAGGTGGAGGCAGAGAAGTTGCCATGGGACCTAATGTAGGCAGCCTGCACCTGCGGGATGGTGCGGGGTCGGGGGGCTCTGGGGCTCTGCCTTCTCCTGCTGGGAGCCTGGCCAGTCCTGCCCCTGAGCCTGGCCTGTGATCGGGGAAGGGGTCCTCGGACACCCCAGGACCTGCCGTGACTCCTGATTGCCCTCGCTGTCACCCGCAGCTACCTGGGCCGGAAGCAGGTGAACCCCGAGGAGGAGGCCGCCGTGGACGGGCTGCCACATCTGGTGGTGGCCGGATACTCCTACTGGACCCTGGCCTATGTCTTGAGCCTGGCAGGTGCTCGCAAGCTGCTGGCCTCCCAGCCCCTGCGCCGAATGCTGCCTGTGGATGAGTTCCTGCCCATCATGTTTGACCGGCACCCCAAGTGAGTCTCAGATGGGGGCCGGGCAGGGTCAGCTCATCCGGGGAGCCCACCTTGGTGAGGGCAGCCAGGAAGACTGAGGCTGAGTCACTTCTTCAAGGTCGCCAAGGAGTAGCCCAGCCTGGCCCTGGAGTCAGACCAACCTAGGTGTGAATTCTGGGCTGCCCGTGTGGTTCTTAGTCAAGCCACGTCCCTGTTGTGAGCCTCAGTTTTCCCATCTGGAAAGTGGGGAGAATAGAGACCCTGCTTCTTGAGTTTGTTGTGCAGTCTTGAAGGGGAGGGCAGTGAGGTGAGGTGCTTCGGGCAGGTGAGGTGCCCGGCTCTAGGCAGGCATGCGGTGTGGCTGGCGGGACCCACCTCAGCCCTCCTGAGCCTTCCCCCTGCCTCATAGTGAGCAGTACAAGGCGCACTTCTGGCCGAGAGACCTGCGTGCCTTCTCCGCCCGGCCCTTGCTCGCTGCCCCCACCCACTATGCAGGGGACGCTGAGTGGCTCAGCGACACAGAGACATCCTCACCCTGGGACGATGACAGCGGCCGCATCATCAGCTGGAGTGGCTCTCACAAGACCCTGCGTGGCCCCCGCCTGGACCTGGCTGGTAGCAGTGGGCACAGCCTCCAGCCCCGGGATGAGCTCTAGGTGAGGGCAGGCCTGGGAAGAGGACCCCAGCCCCGCGCGCCTTGGTTTGCTCTCCCCTGCTAGGCTGGGTCTGGGTCTCTCCTGTCCCCTTCTCAGCCTGCCTTCTTTCCTCCCTCTCTCTGGCTCTGCTGTGCAGTCTCTGTGGCTCCCTGCATTTCTCTATCTCAAGCTTTCTTTCTCTCCCTCTGCCTATCTGTGTCTCTCGGAACTTCTCTGTGTCTTTTTCTTTTTTTTAAGATTTTATTTATTTGAGAGAGAGAGCATGAGCAGAGGGGAGGGGCAGAGGGAGAGGGAGAAGCAGAGCTGAGCAGGGAGCCCGATGTGGGGCTCGATCCCAGGACCCTGGATTCATATCCTGAGCCGAAGGCAGACGCTTAACTGACTGAGCCACCCAGACACCCTGTCTCTTTTTCTGTCGGATGCCTCTGGATATCCAGCTCTAGTTCTTTCTCTTTCTCTCTTGCCTCTTCTGTCCCACCAGGGCCAGGCGGTGACTCCAGAGGAACACCCAGGAGCAGGCTGTAGCTGGCCAGGGAGGAGAGTTGGAAATAGCTGCAGGAACCACCACCAAGAGCCACAGACCCCACAGAGACCTAACTGTCACCTTAGGCATGGCCACTCTGCCCTCTGGCCCCATCTTGCTTCAGGAGAAACCACTCTGAGATGGGTCTCCTTCCCTGAAGGTCATGTAGAGAAAAGGCAGGGCTCACAGGCCCTCTTACCCTGCCCGGCCTGACTCAGGGCCTGGGGTGGAGGGAAGGAGGGGGGGCTCCCCAGCCTTTGGTTTCAAGCTGGACAGACACCAGGAGCCCTGCCCTCTCCGCGGACCCAACTGCCGGGGCCCCTCCACCACCTTCTACCTCCACCTCAGCCCCCTCCCCACTCGACACCTGGGTCTCAGCTGCCTGGGCCCATCCTGTCCCCCTGGCCACTGGGAAGTGCAGGGAGGTGGGAGGAGGGCCCTGGCAGACCTGGTGCCCAGCACATAGTAAGCCCTCAGTAAAAGCCAGCTGGTATTTGCGCTTTATATTTTTAACTCCTGGACAAGCCTCTTTGTGTGTCATGAGGTCTGGGAGGGAAGGGTTCCTGATCTATGGATGAGCCTTTGGAGAGACAGAGAGGGGAGGGCAGCCTGGGGGAGGAGTCAGGCCAACCTGGCATCACCATCTCCTTGCTAGGTGATCTCGGATGGATGCCATCCCTCCCTGGGTCTTGGTCCGCTTGGTGGTGAAGTTTACGAGGAAGAGAAGCATGTCAGGGGCTGGGTGGGTATAGAATGGCCTGGCCCGGAGCCCAGCCCACGATAAATGCTCACCTACTGGGCCTGTCCTGGGTATCACCAGCCTCACCTTGCTGGGTAGCGTGGGCCCGGACCCAGGGCTGCTGAGCCTCCTCCTCTTTGAATCTTCACTTGTGAGGGTGCGGCCCTTCCCTGGAGAGAGACGGGGTAGATGGATGCAAGGCTCCCCTCTGGCCCTAACCCGTGTGAAAGAAAAGCAGAACATGGACCTTGTGGGCCGGGGTGCCCTCTGCTGGTGTGGGCCCGCAAGGGGAAAGGGAGCCTGGGGCATTTGGAATGAGCCCCTTGTGCTGGCCGGCTACCTACAGCAGCTCCAGGTTCTCCAGCTCTCTTGCTGGGGAACTGCTGGTCTTCCCTCTCCATCCCCCCTCCATAGGGTTCGGCTTCTGGGCCCAGCTACTGTCTCCAATGCCTGAACTCAGGCAGCTGGAGGGGTTAGGGAGGTGGCTCCTGGCCTTGGCCTCCACCAGCACAAGGCTGTGGCACTGCCATGTCTAGGCTTCCTTCTTCAGAGGAGCCCCCTCCCAGGGCAGCCCCTTGACTTGGTTGCACAAGCACCAGGGTCCTGGCAGAGTCGGACAGGCACCCCCTGAGGCTGGGCTATCCCTTGCTTCTGTCCTGGGGATGAGGTCCAGCTGGCCTGCCTGTGGTCTCGGGACCTGGCATGGCTGGGAGAAGGACTTTGGGGCAAAGCTATTGGACGGGTGCTTTGTTAGTTCCAAGAGTGAAGAGCCATTGATTCCAGATGGTGATGACCTTGAGCAAGTCCCTTCTCTCTAGGCTTCCGGTGTCCCCTTCACTCATTAAAACAACCATTTATTGAGCCCGTCCTATGGGCCAGGTTTAGGCATTAGGGATACAGCAGTGAATAAAAGTGCCCCCCAAATCCCTGACCTGGTGCAGCTGACATTCTAGGAGGGAGACAGACAGAAAATAAATAAGCAAATATTAGAGTGGTAGGTGCTATAGAGCCAAATGAGGAAGGAGACATCAAGTATGGTTTGAGAAGTTAACATCTGAACAAAGACTCGGAGGTGAGGGGGCAGGCTGTGGGGATAACTGAAGGAAGCCCATTCCAGACCAACGGAACAGCACATGCAAAGGTCCTGAGGCAGGAGCAGGACTGGCAGGTTCAAAAGACAGCAAGGAGGCCAGTGTGGCTGGAGCCGAGTGAGCAAGGCCTGGAGGGCCTGGAGATAGATGATGGAGCCAAGGTCAGGGCCAGAGCAACGAGGCCCTTGGAGGACATTCTGTCTTTTACTCTGGAACGGGGAGCCCCCAGAAGGTTTGAGGCCGAGAAATGACTTGATCTGTTATTTTAACATGAGCACCCTGGCTACAGTACTGAGAATAAACTGTAGGTTGGCCCAGGGGAGAGAGAAGGAGAGAAGTTAGGAACCCATTGTAATCATCCAGGTGAGACACAACAGTGCCCCAGACCAGGGTGTTCGCTGGCAGCGGGGCGGTGAGAAGGCAGAGCCGACAGAATTTCTAGAGCAGGACAGGAAGCTTTGCAGATGCTGACCCCGCCACCCAGAGCCTTCCCGCGCTCCCCAGCCACGGTCAATTCCACCGTGCTCTTGAGCTGCTGGGCAGCACCGCCTTCCAGTTGTTTGTAGACAAAGTTCCCAATACAGCAGCAAACTCGCATGCTCTGAGGACTGGGGAGGAAGGGTTTGGCTCCTGCTTTCCCAGAAGGATTCGCGGATTTCTGTGCCAGGGCAGTGACGTCCCATGCCATGAAGGTACTGGGGGCAAGTCCATCCACAGGGAGAAGTTTGATGATGAGAATTTTTAACCCAAAGCACACGGGTCCTGGCATCTGGTCCATGGTCAATGCTGGGCCCAACACAAATGTTGCCCAGTTTTTCATCTGGGCTGCCAAGCCCGAGCAGCTGGATGGTGAGCCTGTGGTCTTTGGAAAGAGGACACAGACACCCTGGAGTGCTCCGGATCCAGGAATGGCAAGATCAGCCAGGTCACCAGGGCTGTCTACGGACAGCGCTAATAAATTGGCTTGTGCTTTATCTCGGGAGGGCACCCCTCTCCCCATCTGCCCACAGAGTCCTATGGTCTTCGTGCTCTCACAATAGATCTTTGGGTTCCACATGTTCCTTATCCCCCTCCCAGTCCAGCTGGACATAAGAGTTAAGTTGTGAAATAAAAACTAAATGACAAGACAAAAAAAAAAAAAAAAAAAAGAGAGAGGAATGGAGGATGATGTCAAAGTTTGGGGCCTCAAATTCTGGAGGAATGGAGCTGCCATCAATTGAAATAGAGAAGACTATGGGTGGGGCTGGCTGGGGGGAGGGCGGCGGGCAGGATCCAGGGGCAGAGGGCAGGTGGTCGTTGATGTACGAGCCTGGGATTCAGGGTTCAGGTCTGGGCCGGAGATGGAAGCTTGGAATCCTGTCCTGACCCAGAAGCCTTGGCCCCAAACCACACACTGCAAACCACCCTGCTGCCCCATTACCTGGGGAGCTTGTTAAAATGCACCTTACTGCTCCCCTCGTGCTCCCCCCCAGCCAGGTTCTGATTCAGTAGGTTGTGGGTGAGGCCTGGCTTTCTGAACTTCCCACCCAAGGGATTCTGAGGAGTGGACAGCTCCAGGAACTCCCGCTAAATCAACACACAGTGAAATTGACTTTGATGATTTCTGACAAATGTCAATAGCCCTGCCACCACCACCACAATGGCGATGTGGAATATATACCCCAATTCCCCCACGCCAGCCTGCAGTCAGCACCCTTCTCCCACCCTAGCCCCTGGAAACCAGAGATCCGGTTTCTGCCCCGATGGTCGTGCTGTTTCCACCCCGTCGTCCGGACGGACTCATACAGTATGTGGCCTCTTGTGTCTGCTCTTAACGGGTATGATGTTTTATTTGGAAGTGTTATACAAAACCGAACTTTAACACCTTCCCTAATACGTTACACTACAGTTTATAATCCTAACATGTTATGAAGCATGTGTTCTGAAATTTTCATCAAGACTTCCAAATATCTCCCAATACCCTCCACGTGACTCAGATGCTGTGTAAATATTTTGGTTTTCTATGTGTGCCCTGCTGTGAAAATGTTGGGAAGCCTTGCCCTGAGGCATGGCCAGTGCTTGGGGGAGGCACAGATAACTGAGGGAAAGCGAGAAAGTTGGGATGGGGGCGGGTTGCTTTTGCTCTGCTCTGCCCCACCCCGCAAGGTTGGTACATTTGTTTGCAAACCAAGAGACAAGGGCTTTTTTTCCTAGGAGTAAATGGCAATAGCTTTGGAGCATTGCCTTTTTGCCAGCTGTTTTGCCGATTCAAGGAGATTTCTGTCTCCCTTCTGGGGTCTCCGCTGGATTGTAGATGCTAAGGAAGAGCCCTCCCTGGATGGTGGTGGTCTCTGCAAACTCCGGTGCTCCCGCTAGCCCCAGCATGGGCCCCCCTGGGGCAGAGAAACCTGGTGTGAGTGTTCTCTGTCCTTTCTAGTTCTGTGACCTTGGGTAAGTGTACTGAGCCTCCTCGAGCCTCAGTTATCTGCTCTGTAAAATGGGGTTAGCCCTCGTGCCAAGCTGACTGGATGTGGTGCAGCCTCGCTGAGCTCGTGCAGGTGAGCACCCTGCCTGGCACAGAGGGGATGCTGCGCTGATGGTTGCCCGCGTCACGGCGACACTCAGTGACAGAGTGGATCAGGATGGACTTGGGAGGTCTGCCCGAGTCAGAAGAGAGTCGGGGGCTCTGGAAACAGATAATCTAATTTCCAGTTTCCCCTCTGCCACTTAATTGTGCCTCTTGAGTCAGGTGCCTCCCCTTGCAGTAAAACCCTTCTGTTTTCTCCTCTGTAAAATGGAAGAGGCGTGATTTTTTTTTTAAGATTATTTATTTATTTATTTATTTGACAGAGAGAGCACAAGCAAGGGGAGCGGCAGGCAGAGGGAGAGGGAGAAGCAGGCTTCCCGCTGAGCAGGGAGCCCGATGCAGGGCTGGATCCCAGGACCCTGGGATCATGACCTGAGCCGAAGGCAGACGCTAACGACTGAGCCACCCAGGCGCCCCGGTCTCAAACTTTAGAGGTCATCCGAACCACCTGGAGAACATGTTCAAACACAGGTTGCTGAGCCCCATCCCCAGAGTTCCGGATTCCGCAGGTCCAGGGTGGGTCCAAGATTTGCACCTCTACCAAGTTCTCTGGTGGTGCTGATCGATGCTGGCGGTGTGGGGACCACACTTTGAGAACCCCTGGTTTGGGCAGCTGCCGAACCAGGACCCTCAGTGAGCCCAGAGTCCATCCAGTCTCAGGGGCCCAGGGCCAGCGAGGGGCTGGCTGGACAAAGGGTCTAAGAGGAGCCAGGCCTTGATAAGGCCTGGGAGAATTTTGTTTCCACCAGTTTCACCCACGGCTTGAAAGAAAAAGCCAGGCCCACCCTGGAGCACAGAGTCCTTCTCTCCAGGACAGTACTGTGAGGGTTGCATCAGGGCTCTGGAGGACAGACTCCGGGATGGAAATCACTGATAATCGGGCCCTTGGGCAAATGGAAAAGCTGGAGCCGGAGCTCCTAGCAGCTCCGTCTTCACCTGTGGTTCTTTCTAACAAGAGAAGCCCACATTCATTGTTGAAATTTGGAAAAACAGAACGAGGAAAATAACATCGTCAGTGTTAACATTCTTTTTTTTTCCAAAGATTTTATTTATTTATTTGAGAGAGAGAATGAGATAGAGAGAGCATGAGAAGGGGGAGGGTCAGAGGGAGAAGCAG